TTGAAGAGCTAAAAAAATCTTTCAACTTAAATCAATATTTTGTGTCTAATTAACGTACATTATCCCTTACCTATTGTATTGTAGCATCACACACACACACACACAGACAATTCTCTATGTCTACTTTAAGGATTTGTGTGAAAATCGAATTATGTTTTGGGTCATATTGGGTCAACTATTTTTTTTATATTGTCCCACCTCATAAAAGCTTTTTTGAAGAGAATGTTTGATGGTAAGTCTGAGACACAGTGTTCTGAAACACTTACTGGCATATATACAGATGTTTTTTCCCTGCTATGTGTAAGACATTTGCATGAGTGTGCCCTGCTCTGACTCTGACACTACTGCTGCTTCTCAGTATGAGGAAGTGAGCTTTTAACATTTAAGCCCCTTGACTGTATTTTTCACAGAAAGTAAACAAAATGCTTATCACTTAAAAGGGTTGGTAAGTGTCAAGTGGAAAGAACAGATACCTAGATACTTAACCTTGGTGTGACACACACTGATGTATATCTCTGAGTCTTAGCAACGTGTGTGTAATATGTGCTGAGTCTGATGCCTGTTTTTTTTTGTTTTTTTCTCTGGCCACTTATAATGACGTCCAGACAGGTTCTTAAGTGAGTTGAGCTGCAAATGACGCGTTTGGTGTGGGCTGACAATGTCATTTAATCTTCCAATGAAAAGGTCAGTGTGGGTGTGTGTGATGTGGTAATGTAGGTGTATGTGCCAGATCATCACTAACTTTCTTTTTTAGTTAATTATATGACATAATAGCAATTTAGAATAGCACTACTGAATTTAGGTTATTTTTTATACAAAACTAATGGGGAAAAACAGTGTTTCAGTGACGATGTCTGGAAGTATTATCACTTTTGTTATTGGATATGAAAATTAGTGGATGTTTAGATTAAATGCTCCTTTAATTATGAAGGCTGCACCTCTGGGGTATGTTTAAATGCAAATTGGTAGAAAATTGTGACAATAGTGCAACTACCAGGCCGCTGTGAAATTAATAGAAGTGATAGAGCTGTTTAGCCACATCTCATTAAAAGACAATGCCATTTCTCTCAAGTTAGTGGCAACTATGGCCCAGTACCTAAAACATATATTTTTCAAAGGATCTGTCATTTCACTTGCAATTATTTCAATCTTTTTTTTTTTTTTGCAATTATTTTCAGTGGTGAATTTCGAGGGGGGACTACATGGTATGTGTGTTGGAGCAGGGTTTAATCTAAACTCTGCAGGGCTCCGGCCCTCCAGGAATTGAGTTTGACACCCCAATCTTAAGCAATTTTAAAACCAAGGGAGACCACAGACATGAAGACAGTTTCAACTGATTTTTTACCTTATAATCCTCTGAACGCGTACACTAGATGATGCGACCAGACCGCAAGATCACACACTTGTCGATTTCACAGTGACACGTGATCTCACTGAGATTTGCAAGATCAAACGTGACTAGAGTATGGAAGGCCAAAACACGTGAATTTTAACACGTCAACAACACGTTAAATATGCATATTTAGCGTGGATTTCACGCGTTAAATACATGTTGTTTGCATGTGAAAAATTAGTGCGTTAAACACGCATATTCAACACGTATATAACATGTTAAATACGCGTAAAATACACATTAAAAAACAGTTTGAATGGGTCAATGTCATTGGCTGCTGAAGACTTGGGTCAAACCATTTCTGTGAGCTTAGGGGGGTGTACGATTCATAGACTAGGCTACCACCATTTCACATGCTATAGATCAGTTTATTCAGCCTAATTTTTCTCCACTCATGCCTTTTTTTAAATAAACACATTTGTGGGCATTCTAGCTTTAACAGTGATCAAACTTAAGTTAGCATTAAAGTTACAGTGGAGGTAAGCAAAAAATGGTTATACAGTTGAAATATAATTTTAGACCAGCTCCAACTCTAATCCAGCTAATCAAGCTCTTCAGGACAGTGGCCTTCCAGGAACTGAGTTTGACACCCCTGCCCTATAAAGTCATTAGAACATAGACAGCACATACGTTGCATAATCATTCACAGCTCTAAAACAACATGAGGCTGGTTTTGTGAATAGAAAGTCTGTTGTACTGTAGGTCTATTGTACATGACCTGTACAGCCAATGCCAATGACACTGACCCGTTCAAACTGGTTTTTAACGTGCATTTCACGCGTATTTAACGCGTTGATTTTTCATGCACAAACAACATGTATTTAACACGTGAAATAAGCGTATTTAACGTGTTGTTAATGTGTTAAAATTCACGTGTGTTGGCCCTTTTGGCCTTCCACACTAGAGAAGAGACAAACACATGGAGGACAATCAGCATTGTCAGCGGTCTCTCCTGGCAAGCGTTCGGTTGTACAGTGAAAAACAAAATAGAAAAAAATTTTTATTTGGGTGATGTTCTTTCTCAGTACTCTACTTTCGTAGCATGTTTGTGGCTGCCTAGTTTCAGCTATAGAAGCATGCAACATCTGGTAGGTGACACTTGTTCACTCTCATTGGCTATCGGGGGTATCATGTCAGAGGCAGCCCGATCAAGATTCGTAAATATCAAACATGCTTTATTTGAGTTCGGGGATGTTACACCTCGATCTGGAGCAGTAAAATAATCGCAATGACACCACACAATAGAGGATTTTTTGGACAAAAAAAAAAGTTTGCGACAAGCCTCGAATCGGGACACCGGGTGAAAATCGGGCATAAAATCAGCCTTAAAATCTTCAAGTGTGTGGTCAGGCTTACTGAACAGAGCGTGAAAGCAGACTGCTTTAGTTAAATTATCTGTGATTTTGCCAAAAACCTGAACATCTTACTTTAATGGATAAAGCTGTGTTTGCCTACCTGAAAAGATCCAGGTCTTAATGTAAATGCTGTCTAAAAATAATGTAGTCTAGCCTGAAAAGACCTCGCATTTCTGTTAATGAGACATATAGATTGAAAATGGTATCATAACCTAACACACTTGCACAAGCACGCATCATATCCAAAAACGCACACTGTAATCGAGAAATAGATGCCAGATTTTGCACACGCAGTGCATGTCTGTGTTTGCGCTATGGAGAGCATTATAGGTTTCTATTTACAACGCGTTCTAGCAGCATTGGGCAGTGTAGCCAGTCACAGACATATCTGTTGATTTCTTGAACGCATTGCCAATCAGAGGTGTTTAAGTTAATCAAAAACACTGTTTTTTTTCCAGTGCTGAGTTGTCTCATTATAAAATGATGAATTATTTACATGATGTAAACAAGAGATTCATTGTGTAGTGTAGAGCTTCATTCATTATAAAAGAAGTTTGTGAGTTTGCCATGAACTGAGATGAGTGACAGCTTTTCAATGATTCTAAAGAGAGTTTGCACATGTGATATTGATTTTATACAACAGTTCAATAAACAATAAGTTAATATTACGTGACTTAGATTTTAGGAACATTGCTGTCTGACTTTGCTCTATTTCATCATCGAAAATAGGTCCAAACAAAGTCACAGCTGCTGCTGCACAACTCCAATAAGCAAACACAGCAGTGTTTTGTTTATGAATTAATGTGCGTATTTGAATGAATCCAGTGAGTCAATGATTCAATTACCATAAAGACAGTCGCTTAGTTTATGAATGAATCAGCCGTTTGAATGAATCGATTGAATGATTCAGTGACAAAGACAAGTGACTTACCACCACCTACTAGCAGTTTTATTTTAATTTAAAAGCATAATTTCAGTTATTTAAATCATTTAATATTTCTATATTCAGAACTTTATATTTAAAAAAAATTATCTCATAACATTGTTATTATAAATTTAAATGCATTCGTGCCACCTCTGAGCCTCATTAAACACTGTAAATATACCTAAATACCACTTTTGTGTTCTTCCATGCACCTCTGTAGCGCAAAGATAAATTTGATTGGTAACTTATTCTTCCTGATTGTGTCTTATTATTCTAATTCAATTAATTTTTTCATAATTTTTTAAAAAGAGGTTTCAGATGTTATCTGTAATGTTTATGGGTATTTCGGGCAGGATAATGTTAAGTTGGGTGTATCTGCCATCTGCTGCACACTTACACAGGTAATTGACCAAATATAAAATGTTCCTTTGACCGCAATTACGGGATTGTAAAAAGCGTTTACGTCTTAATGGAACTCCTAATTACAATTTGTAAAATGGTAATTTCCTGAGAGCTACGACTTGTAGGCTACCACCTAAACGCTGATTTTGACCGCTTTAGTTTTCCAACTCGCCATAATAACGTTGTTCTGTTTCCGGTGGTAAAAACAGCCAGGATTTAAGTTCACGAGGAAATTGGTTAACCTTTTACAGGTAGGCTATGTGTTGGTTTGTGCTTTAATATGTATTAACTCATTAGGCCTATTACAATGTTTTAAAACTATGGTATCGTTTTATTGTTGTGTTAGTTGACGCTAGATAGCCTGTTTGTGAAATGTGGCTTTTGGTTTGCCAAGTTTTGCATTGCTGACTACTACAAAAAGTGTCTTGTACAAATTACTTTTATGTTCATTAAAATGCTTTCATTACCATATAACACGCTTGTCTTGTTTTGTTTATGGGTATATTTCCTTGTGTTACCGTAAAAAGAAAGAAAGCAAGCAAGCAAGCAAGCAGCAGCAGCTAAAGAGTCGCGTCCAGGGACAATGACAAATCACCGGATTCTTGAAAGTATTATATGGAACTTTGGTTGCCATATAATATATTCCTAGCCTCCTTCAAACTCCATTCCAAAGCCAGGAGTAAAAAGGAAATATTTTAAATATAGGCTTAGCAGGAGGTCGAAAACGCTGTGCAGCGGAGTTTCTAAATGTGGATGACATAGCAAATAGTTTATGCTGCTTCCTTCGGACAGCATTGAGTCATGATGCGTCACTAACCAGTTTACGTGACTAGTTGGCAAAAAAGTACAAACTACGTTGTTTCGCTGTTAACGCTTTATATAGCGACATGAAATATGTGAGGAGAAAAACATGCGGCCACTCACGCCGATGAAATGGAAGTCACTCAGAGGAGAGCGAGGCAACGTGTGAGCTAAAAGCCCCTCCTACTGGTAATGTGACAACGCTTTTGTGAATTTTGTGATCTTTAAATCAAGAGCAAGTGGAAATTCTGATCTTATTGCGCGTTTGCTTCGAGTCAGGACCACTACACTCAAAACAGTAAGAATATTATTTACTTGTGACTATTTATTAATACGAATCATATAGATAATTGTAACTTTTATTTTCTATGCTACATCTAAAAATATTTGTGGATTTTAGAAGTTCATTGAGACTTTGTTTTACATCACCGTTCACTGCTGACAAAGAGTTGAATGAATTGATGAAGGAATTACACTTTTAATTATTATTAATAATAATATATCAATATTTTGTCTATTTTTTAAATAGTGTTTTATACAATAGAGATTGTTTCAAAGCAGCTTCACATTATTAAACAGGAAAGTAACAGAATAATTGAGGCAAACTTCAAAAATGTGCCAAATCCAAATTCTGCTATAAAGCAGCTGTAGCAAAACAATAGGTTGATTATTCAGCACCAGTCAGTTCAGTGTTGGTTCAGTTCAGTTCAATGACTGTGTAAAGAAAGTTGATTTATTATGTTAAGCAGCTCTGCTGAAGACAGTAGTGTTGTTATAAATAAATAATTATACCCTCCTGGGACCCAGGCATAGACTTTTGTCCTCTGTAAAGGGCATTATAATTTAGTGAATTTCTCTGAGACCATACATGCCACAGTTTTAATGATGTTCTGGATGTTTTTAAGTTCTGCATGTCCTGTACAGAGCACATTTAAGGCTTTTTAGAGATATCTAATGTTTGGAGGTTTGATAATATACACACCCTCTGCTTGGTCTTTAAATATGTCTGATATTGACAGAATGATCAGATTTAGCACTCTTAGGGAAATATGATAATGTTTTGTAATTATCTTTTAAATCTGACAAATTTGCAAATTGTTTGTTATAAATAAACATCTCAGAAAAATGTTATGGGCTTTCAAACCGGAATATGACTTTTGTTATAATTTTCATACATGTCTTCTGTAGAGGACACCAGGACAAACATCATGTTAATCAGGCATTTTGGGGAGACACAACAAGTCAATAGGGAAAGAAATTATTGATCAATATTCCTATGAAATAGGAGATATTTGAAAATGTTGGCAAGTTATTACTCCCATTATTACACTTCTTTTTTCATTACGGTTTGCCCCAAGAACACATTAACATGCAAATTAGGTGCAATGTATAGATACATTGTATAGAATGGGAATACCCATTTATGGACATTTTATGCACATATTCCATGAAGTTTAGTTGATTGGTGAATGAAAAAAGAAAACATTGTTTTTGCCTATACGTGCCTTTTCATGTCTATTTATTTTTTTGAATAACTTGGGCTAGTCCTGGCGTCCTCTACAAAGGACATAAAATAAAATATGAATAAATATATATTTTTTCAAAACTGTTTTTTCTCCATTTGTTTCTTATGCTCCAACCAATGGAATGGCATGAAAATCAACAAAATTCACAAAACGTTTTTTTTTTTTTCTGGTTCTCAGGAGGATTATATTGTATTATATCACATAAACGGTTCATTAATAATGGCTTAATGATTTTTCTTAGTTGTTAAATTGTTTTATTTCTTGCGCAGGAACAAATGATGGCTGCTTCCCGAGGACTTCCAAGGATTTTGCTAATATTCAGTTTAGTACTGAACAGCACTATAGGTGCTGACACTGGCTGTGATGACTGGACTCTTAATGGAAATGATGTCTGCTGCAAGAGATGCAAGCCAGGTACAGAGACATTAACTGACAGCAATGTACTATTATCTAGTACCTAACAAGATATTTTCAACTTTTATGAAGGTACGATTTCATGATTTACCACTTTAAAAACAATTTATTGGAATATCGAAAATGCCAAACAGCGGATTACACATGAGTGACCAAGTGAAGGAAGTTTCAGATCATTTTGAAAGTGTCATGAAAAGGATGTGGTTTAGCACTCAAAGGGAAATCCTTGAAGTGTTCTATCATTGCATAAAGATGATTAGATCATCCTTAGAGAACCCAAAGGGTTGTCCCGGAAATCTTACTGTAAATAAGGAGTTCTGTGAAGCTTGCTTGAAAGGTCCAGTTTCAAACATTCTGCCATATTCACAAGACAATTGAGACTCAGTGGATGTCATTCTCTATTAGCAGCAACTGTCCCTATGTTTTTGGATTTATCATTCCAGATAAGCAGATGTTATTTTGCATGACGTTAAACATACAGTGGAACTAAAATGTAAATATTTTAATATTATCAGATGAAAAGGTTGAACTTTAGTTTGTTCTATATTTTTTCCCAAATCCTAAAACATTTTTTATTGCTGTGTTTTTAAAGAGATGGGGGGGGGGAAATCCCCCCTCTGACTTTTGGACACCCTTTTGTGATCAGTGCTGAAGTCGTGAAAGTGAAAGTGAAAATGAAGTGACGTGTGGCCAAGTATGGTGACCCATACTCGGAATTTGTGCTCTGCATTTAACCCATCCATGCGTCTGTAAGAATCAAATGTGTATGAGTTTCAATGGCCATGCTAAAAGTTGCTGCTTGTGGTTACAGGGAACCGCTTGGTGGAGAGTTGTGGAAGAGACCCAGAAAAGCTCTGTATCCCCTGTGAACCTGACACTTACATAACCAGTCATGAATTCCACTGTTTGAGATGTACCCAGTGCATAGGTATGATCCAGTTTTACATCCTCATTGCCATTTTAGTTAAGTAAATGAAAATTTAAGGCTATGAGATAAATGATTTTATTTATCTGCATCATCATAAGCTTTGATATGTGCTTCACACTGAGTACATAATGCATATATAACATCATACTGAGTAAGCATTAATCTTTCTGTTACATGTTGGAATTTGTGCTCTGCATTTAACCCATCCATGCGTCTGTAAGAATCAAATGTGTATGAGTTTCAATGGCCATGCTAAAAGTTGCTGCTTGTGGTTACAGGGAACCGCTTGGTGGAGAGTTGTGGAAGAGACCCAGAAAAGCTCTGTATCCCCTGTGAACCTGACACTTACATAACCAGTCATGAATTCCACTGTTTGAGATGTACCCAGTGCATAGGTATGATCCAGTTTTACATCCTCATTGCCATTTTAGTTAAGTAAATGAAAATTTAAGGCTATGAGATAAATGATTTTATTTATCTGCATCATCATAAGCTTTGATATGTGCTTCACACTGAGTACATAATGCATATATAACATCATACTGAGTAAGCATTAATCTTTCTGTTACATGTTTACAGGTAAACAGTTTACGCTTAAACCTTGCACTATCAGCAGCGATACCGTATGTGGATGCAAGGCTGGATATCGGTGTGGAAACGACAAATGTTCTTTCTGTGTTACTGAATGCAAGGAGGGGGAGGAGCCAACCAAAGAGCGTAAGAATTTAATTGAACCCCTTTTCTTGACCGTCTCTGATTAATAAGCTCTCAAGCTGTTTAATAGCAAATTGCCTGCTATATTGCTATATATTGCATAATTGCTTATTATTTTCAATTAAATTCTGTAATTTAATGATTGCAGGATCTTGTAGAAAATGTCCAGAGGGAAAATTCAATGATAAAATCCACAGTATGTGCAAAGAATGGAGAAAAAGGTAGAGTACAATTGACTGTTTTTTTTTTAATATATAATTTCTCAGAAATACATTTGTCATAAAAGCCATTCAAACTTTCTTATTCATTCTCTAGTTGTCCTGATGGACAGACTTTGGTCAAAGGAAATGTTACCAGCGACAGTATGTGCACATATTTAGAAGGTAAGAAGTAAATACAGGAGAAGAACATAACTTGGATGGCAAGCAACATACTGCTGCATAATCTCATGTTTTTGTCTACAATTTTTGTTACAGAACCTAAACAAGAACCCTTACCTGTTTTGACAGATAAAAAAGGTAAATGAGAATATCTAGCAAAAAAAAGAACATAGCATCATTGCAGACTTTTTGAGATTGCTCAAGTTAACTGGACTGCATATCTTTCAATATGAATATCAAATTCTAACCTCAAGGATATTTTTGTATCTTCTAGAACCGACTAAATTGCTTCCAGTTTTCATTGCTGCAGGGATGGCAGGGTTGGCTGTCCTTTGTATCATAGCATCAGTGGTTGCATATGTAAAGGCACAAAACAAAACAGAGAAGCCAAAATCCGATACCCCTGACCAAGGTACCATTTAAACCCGTGTGTCCATTTTGTCTTTCTTATATGCCGTTCTTAGAATAAAACTGATAATGTCTGAATTTACAGTATTGTCATTCCTTTCTTTTAGACCGCTCAGATGAGTCCAGGATAATGACTGTTGAGCAAGAAGACTGTAGTTTCCGTCATCCTGAGCAGGAACAGGGTGGCAGCTCAGAGTCCATCAATACACAAGACTCAGAGTCTAAACTCATAGTGTGAGTTCACTGGGACAGCATTAATTTTCTTATCTGACTCTAGCATTGCTTCAAGAACAAGAGGGCACAACCACTAAACATCTACTAAACTGTGAAATACATACTTGACTGGGTGTCTGTCAGCCATTCCAGTTGGTGTATCAGTGATAAATGGGAACAAAATGGGTAGTTTCATTTGTTCTGGAAAACAAAATGAACTTTCACATCAGAGTTTTTAACTTCTGAAGTATAGTGCACCTTAATAACACAGAGATGAGAGGTTGTTAACGTAGGTGTGCAGTAGCAGACAATATGTCAACACTTTTATGAGAGTAGGCGTCATCTACTGGCGCTTGCGTCACATTTTCAGGTCAAAGCCCTCTTGAAATACCCTGGTGGGCTTCCCCACTTTTCTGTTTAAAACAGCACCTTTAAAAAAAAAAAAAAAAAAGCTCTTTGGACCAAGAACAAAGTGGACAACAGAAGAACAACAAAAAGACTGTTTTAAATGGCATGTTTGCACTTTAACTATTTTTAATTAATAGTTATATGTCTAATTGTTTATATATATATATATATATATTTTAATCTATGTCTGGAAATCAGCAGAGCGAGCAGAGTATTGTTTGGTAAATGTGGTTGACCATGTCATGTAGGAAGTGAACTGCCGAAACTAAACATTTGACCTCAAGATTTATTTTTTTTTGCATTTTACTGTTTTGTACATATTAGGATTTAAAAATAAGTACAATTGTCAACTCAGGCCATTCTAAACCCTGGGTTTACAAAATCATGACTTGTTGCTTTTCATTCATTCACAGTTCAGTGTTCACTGTAGGAATTTACTCTGAGAATTAGGTTTCAACTCGGTTTCACATGCTACATTTGTAAATCCTGGGTTAAAATTCTTATTTTCATATTTGCGTTGTCAATTATCATTGACTGGATAACCTGTTTAAATA